CGGCCATAAAATAAATCTTTATTCAAAGATACGATGTTCCCTGAGTGTCTTCACTTAACTGTGTCAGTTCACACAAACATTTCAGGATCTATGGAAGCTGAGCTGAGCTAGAATCCGGGAGCGATGCACCCTTTTTTTCTTCCCCTCCTAGCAATTCAAAACTTAATCCCTGCCATATTAAAACCGGTTAAAATGGCGCAGAGTCACTGCTCACCTTGCCTATTACAGCCGTAGCTTTTCTAATAAGTACGAAGCGTTTAGGGATTTTAGTTTTGCCTTCAGGCATGGCAGCCTGGAGAGCGTTTACCTCCTCTAAATTGGATGCTGTTTTCTGCTAACTGTAGCTTTTCAGCGGATCCGGGAGGAATTATAGCAAAGGAACTGAATGGAAACATTCCACCATTCTTGACACCTGTCTTGTCTGCAAGGGGATTTCAGAAACCCCCCCAAGTAAGGCCTCCTCTTTCGTGCTCAGGCTTACTTGGAATCAAAACTGATCATGACCACATAAAGAAGGAATCCAAGATCATTTAATGCCTCATTACAATCAAGGCATGATGTATCCTGCAATCAATGATGAGGGAGGGAGGGAGAGAGATTATCGGATGGATGGATGGATGGATGGATGGATGGATGGATGGATGGATGGATGGACGGACGGACGGACAGACATAGATAGATAGATAGATAGATAGATAGATAGATAGATAGATAGATAGATAGATAGATAGATAGATAGATAGATAGATAGATAGATAGATAGATAGACGGACAGACGGACAGACGGACAGTATACATATATACATACATATAGTATAAAATAGATAAAACTCACGATCACCAGGAGAGTAAAAAGTTTAAAACTTTAATTTAAAACCAAGCTTTCGCTGGGAGCTCCCAGCATCATCAGGGTTAACAAGCCAGTCTATGGGTGTGCCTTAAGTAAGGTTGTTTGACATCTGCACCCGGCTCCTAGAACGTGTAATTGGCCCCAATAGATATAGATAGAACAGATAGACAGACAGACAGACAGACATATACATACATACATACATACATACATACATACATACATACATACATACATACATACATACATACAGATATAGATAGAACAGACAGATAGATACGGATGGACAGATAGACATATATACATACATAGAGATAGATAGATGATAGATAGATGATAGATAGATAGATGATAGATAGATAGATAGATAGATAGATAGATAGATAGATAGATAGATAGATAGATAGATAGATAGATAGATACAGATGAATGGATGGATAGATAGATACTTTTGCTTTTCACAGAACTGTGTACAGCGGCTATGAATTCATAAAAAACAATATGCATCATTTGATATTACCAGTGTTTGTATATCAACATATTGCCAAGTAATACATAAAATAACTTCTTGCCTACAGGATAATTTTGGACAATTTCTGAATACGTTGCTGTTTTCATTAAATAAGCAGCAAAAGATACATTGCTGTTTTTCATTAAATAAATTCAAAGGAATGTACTTCTATCTCACCATATTTATTCAAATATATTAATTGGTTAATAACCTAATTATTACAATATCTTCAACACACTAAGTAGAAGTCAACTATTCTTATTATGTAGCTCTATTGCATCCAGTGGAATTCCGCCCCACATTAAGAGTGTTTTGGATCAAATATTTCCTTCTTCCTTTTGGCTGAAAAATCAGATTATAATGTTTAAGCAGGCATGTAATATCTTAGAACATTTGCTAATGGTTTTTAAATTCATGGCACGTGCAGTTTATAACCTTTAAACTTTTAAAAGCTGGGGTTGAAATACACCTCGGAAAGTAGCCGTTTGCTGTCGTTATAATTCTGCTGTGCTTTGCTTAAAATCAAGTTGTTTCACCCAAAGGAGAGAAAGACGATTTTCGATTTCACTGAAAGATGTTCTTTAGAATCTCATTTTGAGAATCACCAGAAAGTCAAAGAGTGCCTTATTGCTTTAAAATGTTTAATCAAAATATAAAAGTTAGACCTTGTGACACTAGGTGGCGATATTTCCTAAATCTAAGAACCAGGGAATTTGGTGAAGAGCAATGCACAACTACACAACTTTCCTTAGTGCAGGCATGTTTATTTTATATTCTCTCTCTCTCTCTCTCTCTCTCTCTCTCTCTCTCTCTCCCTATATCTATGAGAAGCAGACTCACTGCTTCTACACACACACATATATATACATATATATATACGCTGTGAGCACCAGGAGTATATTAAACTAAAAAAGTTTAATAACACAAAACATATACACACCAAGCTTTCGTCGGAATCCTTCCGACATCGTCAGGGTCGGAAGGATTCCGACGAAAGCTTGGTGTGTATATGTTTTGTGTTATTAAACTTTTTTAGTTTAATATACTCCTGGTGCTCACAGCTTATTTATTGGAAGATGATTACACCCAGGAGTCATGTTTTTAGTTTTAATGTCATTAGAAGTACATATATATACGTATATACCAGGGGTCTTCAAACCTGGCCCTTTTATGACTCGTGGACTTCAACTCCCAGAATTCCTGAGCCAGCATGGCTCAGCTTGGCAACCTCTCCCTTTCCCCTCAGCGTGCCTGGCTGAGGAATTCTGGGAGTTGAAGTCCACAAATCATAAAAGGGCCAAGTTTGAAGACCCCTGATTTATACATATATACACATACACATATATATACATACATATATACATACATATATACCTTCAAATCAATAAAACGTGAACACCAGGAGTATAATAAACTAAAAAAGTTTAATAACACAGATAATCACCAAGCTTTCGTCGGTATCTTCCGACATCGTCAGGGCTAAAATGCCAGTCCATGGGAGAGTATACATATATACATACATACATGCATACATACATATATATCTGACAAGCTGAATCCTTCCAAAGTGAGTCTACTTCTCATGGACTCTTTCTCAAACTGTTAACATTTTATATGAAATAAGTAATATCCAGAAATGAAATAGCCTGTTTCTTTCATGTTATGGCTTGACATTACATGCTTCTATTAAAATTGGGATTCATTTTGGGATTCCAAAGAAGGACATCTGACTTAGAGGGTTCCCATTAGTGTCACAGTGCTATAACGTAGGTGATGTGGTGACTTCCTGGGATAAAAGAATGGCTCAAGCAATGGAAGACAAATACATTAACATTAAATGGCATTAACATTTTCTTTCTGTTTCAGATCCTGGGCGCGCCTCAGCAAGAGAACCACAAGATCAAGAGAGTTAATCAAAGCTAGATTCCCTCCATTAAATATTATTACACTTAACCCACCCTATCTTGATCACGTAGCGTCAAGATTTACCACACTCCGAATCATTACTTTTATTTAATCCTGTTTATATCGAATGTTTATTTGTTTATTGTGAACAGATGCTTTTCTACTGCTCCAGTCGGCCAGCCGCTAAGCCTCCCCACAGCGGCAACGCAAGACACAATAAAACGATACGCGTACAAATTGTAATATTTAATCATCACTAACTATTAAATCATCATAAAACCATAGCCTCGTACATCATCCGTCGGTAATTCTAAAAAAGCTCTTTTAGCTGAGGCATATATTATCCTAGCCTGTAAAGATACTTTGGCGTTTCTATCTTGTAAATGTCATTTTTGCTATGTATTATTTAAGACGTCAAGGAGAAGTTAACTAAGATAATCAAATTTAGCTCTGTGTGTGTGTGTGTGTGTTTGTGTGTGTGTGTCCCTTCTACTCTGTGAGTTTCCTGAATTTCATCTCAGATTGCTATCATTAAACTACTCACGGAAAAGTAAACAGGCTTCTGTTTTAGAAACTCCTTAGTTACTGCAAAAGTTTTGTTTGATTGTCGTTCTCACTGCCTGATAAGGGGAACACCTATCAGTGGAACCTCAACAATCTGGAGGCAACAATCAAGGGAACCACAACACTCTTGAGGCAACAATCTCAAAATCTGTTTATCATGGATGGTTGCTTTTTCAGAAAGACACCGAATGGGATCTATCTTTGCTTCATTGTTTTACTAGTAAAAATATCTGGTAAGAGATCCATTTTATTCATCTGAGATATGGAGATTTGTTCTGCCTAATGATTTGTCAGCTTTAGTGTTTTAGTAACTGGTTAGACCGATATAGTCCCCTTGTGAGGGTTTGTTTAAAAAAAACAAACTAAATTTATGTAGAAATTTCAACAATTTATCAAATGGCACAAGAAATTCTTGCCAGTGCACAGATTACAATCAAAACAATAACGTAACTTAGAAATAAACTTCCCAAACAAAAACATAAGATTTTTTCTTCTTTTTAACAACCCTATAATCCCTTGCATCGGGATGGAGACATAAGACATAAATAACTCCATTTCCAATCAATGCAGATAAGGTCCCTTACAATTCACCCATATTCTTAATTTTCAAAATGACGGAGCATACTGAAGGTCTGTTAACAGGGATGACATAATTTAATTTAATTTAATTTAAGGGATTCTGGATACATATTCAATAGATTCTTATACTTAAGAACAGGACATTGTATGAACTGATCTTTAGACTTATATTCGTAGTATGAATCCCAGCATCCAATACCTTTTAGTTAGACCAATGTAATTCTGCACCAAGGATCCCAAACTCCTTTAGGCCCAATTAAACCTAGTTTTAAACTTTCCTTGGTTTGGGGCTTGGAATTTGTGAGGTGCAGCTACAGAGAAGGATGGATAGTATTTTTCTCACTTGTTTTTTATCCTAAGACTTCAGCTTTATAGACACTTCAATTCCAATAAAGACTACATATGGGCACCATGAAACGGGGAAATCAATATAATGCAGTAAAAATAATCTCATCCATCTTGTACTTTTTTTTTTTTAGCAAGCCAACAAAAGCATTTCCGTTTTAGGAAACTTTTATGGCTAATTGACTGATATCTTTTATTAATTGGCTTTGTGCTTAGATTCATCTAATTTTATTTTATGGCTATTGGCTATGGAACGTAAGTATTTATTGCGAATATAAGCGTGTTTAGTGATTCACTGTAAATTGCTTTAAGAGTTTATTTGGTCAGCTGCCAGCCTATGCAGTATATAAAATTAAAAGGGAAAAGACCAGCCTTCCTAGTGGATGAAAAGCAAATGGGCGGAGCTACCCCTTGCAGAATTCCCGACAGGAATTCTGGGATCTGAAGTTCCAATTCTTCAGATACTCTCTTCCCAGCTGGGACTGAGAATCCCAGTCATTTAGGCTTTACTAGTCATAGGAAATCCAAGGTTTGTTCTATGGTACAGCTAATAAATTACATCTGAATATAGATCGATAATGTGATATACTCTCTAGCTTGAATCTCTGTGTCAGCAGTTCATTAAAATGATTTGTTACTAAGTGACCTTAGGTCTCAAGCTTTACTTTACAGAGGATTTATATTTATAAGTATTTATTAAATGTTTATTCGTTTAACATACTGTTTTATATTGTTGTTTTTATTATGCTGTAAGCTGCCCAGTGTCGTTTGATAGTGATATATATATGACGGAAAGAAGGAAGGAAGGAAGGAAGGAAGGAAAACAGATCGATGAGAGAGAGATAGTAGATAGATAGATAGATAGATAGATAGATAGATAGATAGATAGATAGATAGATAGATAGATAGATAGATAGATAGATAGATAGATAGATAGATAGATAGGTATAGGCAGATATATGATAGGAAGGAAGGAAGGAAGAAAGGAAAGGGGAAAGGAAAAGAAAGATGGACACCAGGGTTTCTGCTACTCCTGTTTTTGTTCAATTAAAAGAGGGAGCTTTGAAGTCTAGGGATATCTTATTCCTTCTTCTCTGCTATCCTTTTCAGATTGTAGGTAGCAAAAACAACCATCAACATCAGAGTAAATGGTAGGAAAATGCAGCACCAATGGAAGACATTTGATACCCTAACTCTATAAAATTCTCCTTACGAGGCCCAACAGTTACTCAGGATAAACTCATTTAGATGCAGTCTGACACAATAAAATTCTTCCCAGTTTTGGCTTCCCTGCTGCTTTTATGAAAACCTGCCCATCAGCCCTGGATGAACCATAAGGCAAAATTAGCCTGAAAGATCAGCTCAGTGCATGAAGATTCAATTAAACTGATTTATCTCTAAAAGCCTATGTCCAGGAATCTTCTCAGCTAACACCCATACCCAGTTAGAGATAGATACGGGTCAACAGAATTCAAAGGAGGCTGGAGGTACGTCGCTTGTGGCTACATAGAGATTCTAGGCTGATGTCTCTTTTGACTCCAACACCAAGTTTTATCTCTTCTTCTCCTACACACCTAATGACTTTAATCTGCAGTATTTTTTTAAAAAAAATGCTTTCTTTGGAATAGTGAGTGACTACAATTGGAAAGTTTGGCTTGAAAATAATCCTCAGGTCTCACCGTTGTTTCCATCTCCTGGTGGGAGAATTTCACTTCCATCCAGGGGCTGTGTTTGGGGCATCGCTGGGTTTTATTCCGGCCCTGCTCCCCATGAGTTACAACAGAGCTGCAATAATAGCAAAGGTAGAAAAATAGTTGTCTTACTATTCATCCAAGGCCCTTCAGGTATGTTGGCCTGGAAGTCATCCTTTCTGAGGCCAATGGGTGCTTTCCAAATTTCCTGGAGGGTGTGAAGCTGGGGGGAATTGAGATTGGGATAAATATATAATTAATTTAATTTAATTTAATACATTGACTTATATGCCGCCCTTCTCCCCACGGGACTCAGGGCGGCTCACAGCATATTAAAACAACATAGCACATTTCCCCAATAAAAGCCAATTAAAACCAAATATTTGTAGCTGTGTCTCTTATTATTAAAAATCATTAAAAATTATCCCTATTTAAAATTCACCCTAGGTCAGTCC